CCGGGCCTTGTTTGCGGCATCACGGCCATCGCGGCCTATAGCGGCCCGCAACGGCGACCCTCGGTGCCAACCCCAGACCAGTGTCTAACACCGAGGTCTGGGCCATCCAGCCGCACTGAGTGTCCGGCACAGGGCGCATGCGGGAAGTGCAGCAGCCGGGTGCGGTTGCAGGTGCAGGTGCGAGTGCGGGTGTGGATGCAGGTATGGGCTAGGTCAGGGTGTATGCCCTGACAGTTGTTTGAGCTAGTAGTCTTTTTGGTGCCGTCCGTCCCACTGGGGTTGGGCTTTTTGTGATCATCCATTGATAGGAGATTGGGTGAGTGGGTGAGGGTGGGGATAGGGTTTTTTATGGGGGTTTGTGGTGTGTTTTGATCTCTCTAGACGTTAGCCCTCTCTTTTCGAGGTGGTGTCACGTGGGGAGCAGAGTAGCATGGTGCGGCACGGCGCTGGGTGCGGTGCTGGGTCAGGCAGGGTGTGCCCTGACACTTCCACACTAAGTCTCCAATTCCACTCCGGAGTCATCTGAATCCGCCCATTCTAACATAACCCATAAACCTGCCATCCCCCATAACACATAACATGCTGGGGGATTTTATATTGGAATTTCGCAAAATTTGATCCGTAACTGTCAGGGCCCAGCCTCGGACTCAGAGGCTCCCTGACCTCAACCCCCATCTGACCTGTCCTCACACTATGCAGGGCATGAGATGTACATATAGTAAAAGAAAGTGAAATATGTACACTTGCCTATGCAGGGCATGAGATGAGAAGAAGGGTAAAGGTCTCATCTCCCTGCATGGTTGCTATATAAAGGAATGGGTCACATGCCCACAACTATACCTAGAGTTGTGTAGTGTGACCCAGAGGGAACATCCAGGTGGCAGTGCCCAGTAAGTGTGGGAACGTTCTGGGTGAGTTGCTTGCCCAGAATTGTGGCTGTGACCCACGGGAACATTCTGGGCAAGCTGCTCGCTCGCTCAGAAAGTTCCCACGCTATCCCGTGTGCGTGTGTACAAAACACACAAAGGCAACAACAAGGCAACAATCAAAGAATAAAGGGGGTAAAGTAGGTGGGGAGTCCGGGGCACCCTAAGGCAGGGTGCTGAACCCTGACAGTAACCCATAACTGAAAGAGTGGTCATGCCTCTGTCAATAATTTTTAATTCAGAGAAATTGACAGCAGCAAAGTAGGAAGGAATGCTCTTGAGTCAGCTGGGGCCCACAAGAGAAATAAAATGAGTATAGCTGAACTGGTAAATAATCCACTGGAGATTACAGCGAAAAACGAAATATTGTAGAAAAGTTGAATGAGCAAGACCCTACCCAGCATCCTCTTATGGGATTAGGGAGTATTACGAAATGATCTTCAGGATAGCTGATTTCAAAAAAATGTACGTACACCTTGTCCCTGAGACAACCCATGTTGAACACAAATAACATCCAACAACGACCAACAACCCTCTTCCGCTACCAACATGCCCCTTGTAAATCGTCTCAGTGATGACCTCAAGCTATGCATCCCATTTCTCTGGCTTGATGGACTAAACATTCTCCAGATCAGCTGTACTCTTTCTGTGAGCAAAGCCCTGGTTTACCGTATTTGTCATATCCGTGCATACCCGATCCCGACCCGACTCCCGGACCTCCTCCTTCCCGACCTCCAGAGTCTTACTCTACCGCTGCCCGTTCCGATATTCGCCTTCAGTCCTGGCAACACACCTCCTTTTACCTCCCATACCACCTCTACTCCTCCTTCCCTCTCCTCCCCTATCTCCGTCCGCTCCGATACTCACCTCGGACCGAACACCGCCCCTCTCACCACCCTCCTACTACTACTCCTCCTCCTACTCTGCTCCTCCTTCACAACACCTCCACCCTTCCATCACCCTCCTACGCTTCCCCCGTCCGCTCCGATACTCACCTTTGGACCTGACAACTCCACTCCTTCTCTCTTACCTTTCTCCTCTCTCCTCCCTCTGGTACTCTTCCGCCGACCCCCCGCCAAGTTACGACCTTCCACCGCTGTCCCGTACTTCGTACTTGGGCACCGCTCGTATCTTTGCTCCGAGCCTCCATCATAGTCCCTACCTCGGACTTTGACTCCACCTCAGTCTTAGTCCATTGCATTGGTGACCTCATACTACGTAAACACCATTGCCAATATTCCTCGGACTTTCAACCCTGCCTCCGTAACCTCCATAAGCTCCGCAACCTCCGAGCTTCACGCATCGCCTTCGGCACTTTCGCCGCTTGTAATGTATCTTTCGCATTTTCCCCTCATCCCTATTTGGACTGCTGCTTCTTCCCATTCTAGCCAGTTAGTCATCATCCCCACTTCTCCCCATCCTCCTGCCCCTCTGAGCCTCGCCCTCCCTACCTCCTTTCGGACGTATCACAGGTCCTGCCTTATGACCTTCGGTACCGCTCCGCTTCTGTCTACCCTTTGTTCCCGTTCGGATGCCTTCATCCCGATTCGGATCCCCTTTGTCTCCTTGTGCTTTTGCCCCCTCCATTATATATATCGGCGCTTGTACATACTCGTTTGGGGCTCAGTCCGAAATCAACCTGAAATGCCCCCTAGAGACTTCCTGCTCGCCTACTGTGAAATTAAGGACCAAATGGACAAACAGCAATGGCACAGCGCTCCACTTGAGTCGCTGAGGCCAAGGTCCCTCCACGCTAAGTCTCCAATTCCACTCCGGAGTCGTCTGTTTCCACCCATTTCTAACAGTATTCTGAAGCGGTGGAGGTCCACCAGCAGCATTCGGGCTCCAGAGCATACAAGAGCTGGACGGCCACATGCTCTCCCAAGGGATGCCGTTACTTTCATCTCAACCCATCTTGATAATGATGGGACCCTTCTCATGGATGAACTTCGAATGCATGTTCATGCAGAATTTGGCCTTGATGTTAGCGTGGCCACTCTCAAATGGACACTCAACTCTTTGCTCTTCACACATAAGCAGGTAACTAGGGTTGCAATGGAGAGGAATGAACTCCTCCGTGCTGCATTCAAGTGCCGCTTTGCTGAGCTTGTCCACAGCCTTGACATGCTCCTCTGTATTGATGAGAGTTCAAAGGATGAACATACTGTTTCATGCCGGTGTGTCATATCCATACAATCCTGACCTCCGCTCCGGGCTCCCGGAACTCTGAACCTGAGTTCCAGAGTCCTACTTCCCTTCCATCACCTCCTCCTTGCCGACTCCCAAGAGGTTATCCCACCTCCGGCTCTGATACACCCTTCGGTCCGACTCCGGAACATTCCGGGCCCAACCCCAACCTCGACACCTTCCAGATGAGTATGCAACACCTATGCTCCCGACTCCGGGCCTCCGCTCCGGAATCCTGTTTGCATCTCCGTTTCCGGAACCTCCGGTCTTAGCTCCGACCTCGGACTTTGACCCCACCTCCACTCATATCCATTGTATTGGTTAGCTCATTCCATTTAATTATGTTTGCCAATATTCCGGAGTTTAACTTCCGAGTTCGGACTTTCCGGACTTATGTCGGACCTTGCAACTATTGCATTGCTCCATTCAACCCCGCTATTCTCCCTCATTCCTATTTGGGCTGCTGCTTCCTTTCTATTCAGTCAGCTAGCCATTCCCCACTCCCAACCTCCTTCCTTCCTCCTTGGGCCTTGGCCCTTCACTCCTCCTTTGGGAAACACCATTGAGTCAAACCCTTGACCCTCGGTGTTGTTCCTCTTTCCAGCTCCCTTTGTCTCCTTTCAGAGTACCCTCGCTCCTTTTGATTCCGGACCCCTCCTTATATACAATGTACATAGTAACTTGTAACCTCAGTCAGAAATCGACTGGAATTCCCCCAAGAGACTTCCCCTCTGCTAGATCCGAAATTAGGGACCCCCAGGACAACCAGCAATGGCACAGCGCTCCGCCTGAGTCACTGAGGCCAAGGTCCTTCTATGCTAAGTCTCCGATTCCACTCCAGAGTCGTCCGAATCCGCAAGTTCTAACACGGTGGGGGTATGCCCGCCTTGGAAAGCGTTGTCCTGTGCACACCCGATTCATCTGGGGGACTCGCTACTCAATTTTGCCGGTTATGGGCATCGACGGGTATCTCGCATATGAGGTTTTTGAGGGACCAGTAACTGGGGAAATGTCAGGGGACATAGCGTAAGCGGTTCTCTGTTACCCTATCGATATCGCGTAAGACTATATCACCGCATGTAGCCACATCGGCCCTCATATATCGTAAATCCCTCACCTTCTCCTGATCCGACTCTGCCCCCTGATCCGAGTGTTCCTTCATCTCTATTCACTTTGTTTTCTATCGGATCATTGTTTAGTTCCTTTGATCCTATCTCTTCCGATTGATTGATGTCACTCGTGTATATAGCTCTATGTGCCGCTGAGGGTTGGAACCTCAGCTTTGTCTATGACTAGGTTTTCGGGCGATATTCGACTCGGACTGACAAGCGATCCCTGACAGGAAAGATTTATTATGTTTCTGCATGAGCATGTTGTCCATTTTTCCTTCACTTCAGTCACTGTCCACTGATGCATTCGAGTAATTAGGTGCCGATTGTGCGGCCATATCCCGGACCACGGAGCATTCTCCTTCTAGATAATTGTTCTATCCACCATGGCGATGGGGTCCGTGAACTTATAGAGGTGGAAGCAGGTGTGATATTAGCTCTTATCCCTGCTCTTTTTTGATCTGACATATTTTAGGTGGCCATTTGTTGTATTTTCCACCATACTCACCCGACTTCAACCCAATTGAACTGTCATTTTCGTTCATCAAGGGCTGGATGTGCCATCACTATGATGATGCTGTTCATCGTGCAACACCCCTCTCTTTCATCTATGATGCTTGTTCTCAGGTTGGCAGTATGCAGGCACAAGGGTGGTACCATGCATCAGGTTACTTTTGAACCTGTTCTCTCATGTTTGTCAGTAGCAAAAAAAATGCTCGCATTGCCCCATAAGGTTACCATACACAGTATATAAGGCCGAAAGACATGAAGATTGTGACTAGAGTGAATACCACTCATTGTCCGTATAAAAAGGGGCATTGTTGGTGAGTGGATTGAAGAAGTTACCTCGAGTTGGTGGAATTGGCATCCAAAATCCCTCTGCCACCATCACATAATCACAAACTCCTTCATCCTGTAGCTTTACTTGCTCTCCTACATACTGGTCCCATATGTCGTCGATATTGTCGCAAGGGGGAGGATTGAATACTGGCATACCATCATCATAAGTTGGAGTACACTCATCTTTGTAGTGGCAGAAATGCATTCGCCTCTCACCACCACCATCAGGGTACTTTCGCCTGTAAGGGACCACCACCCAGTCTTCTGGTGCCTTGCATTTATGTCCAGCCAAGGAAGAACCTGGGGCATCATGCATGACAGGATCAGCTGACTGGGATGTTGCCTTGACCTCTAATTTCCAGAACTCAGATGCTGCTGCACGAAATCGGTGGACAGATCCAAGCCCAAGCCCAAGAGCTTTCCGGAGCTCATCATTGGAGATCTTCTCAATATGGTCGTCCGGATAAATATCCTCAGCTTGCATGCCAGACATGCAAGCGCTCCAGTCCTCACCACGTGCCATGTCACACCAATTCACGAATTTCTCAATAGACAAGGATGTGAGGAATGGCTTTGTTTTCTGGGGGCTGAAAGGGGGTTGTGATGCAGCCTTCTTTTTTGGCGACATCGGAGACTTGTCAGGTGATGCTACTGAGGCCTTCGGATTCAACGTGGACATGAATGTTGCAAGTGCAAGCGTCATGAGAGCCTCAAGCTGGTTATTGCCAGGTGGATTTGCTGGGCCTTGGGATTGTGATTTGGATCGGTGGTGGGTGGTGTGATCAAAATACTTGGTGTTGGGTGGGTGGTCCAACATTCAACTGTTATGTAAAGTCGGCATTATTATTATTATTATATACTTACTATGTCTATAAATCCAATTGGACTCACCCAGCTGGATGCCCAGTGCTTGAGGGCATGTGGTGACAAAGAAACACATGCCTCACCAGGTTTGCGGACGTAGCAGTATTGCCTGCCATGCTCCGTGTCAATGCATGGCCACCGCTCTTGAAGTTTCACAACCTTCGCAGCACATTCAGCCTCTAGGGGAGTAAGATCTGCAGCATTGGGTGCCTAAATTGGGGAATTGAGGATAAATAACTTGTCAGTGACAAAGATGTTGCGCTTACTTTGTTCACACAGCCATAACCACCCACCAAATGACTGCTTGGATGGACACTTAGGGCACTGGGTGCCTGTTTTCACTGTCAATTCAATGGGGCCTGATCATACAACAAAGATGCCGCATACCATTGACTGCTGCATCACCTGAAAGCTGGACAAATCCACCTCCACCACGATTCCAAGCAACATTTGGTCACGTACACTCTGAATCATGGAGGAGAATTCACTGTCCATCTTGATGAGGAGGCCTTTGTTCACTCTGGAGATGAGGCTTGGTTATAATCATAAGTGTATGTAAATAAGGTACATACACTGCACCGTCTTTCCTCCACTTGAAAACTGGCCATTGACTGCTGTCATTGCCGGGGGTGTACATTGCGGCATAGGTAGGACCCAACGCTTCGAGTCCGGTCTTCCAAAACATGGATGGATTGATTGGATTGTTGTGTCCAAGAATGCCTGGCAGCTGGAATTGTTTCTGGATGATGTCAGGCTTCCTTGCGACCTTCCTGTTCCGGTCCTTCTTTGGCACCAAAAGTGTAATTGTGACGTGGAGTGGTTTGAATTGTTCACCAGCCTCACTGTATCCATCGTTGTCTTCATTGCTGAGTTGGCTGCCTGCACGGAGGGGCATCCTTTCCAGTTGAAACTTGGTTTGCATGATGCTGGTAACTGGGGGGGACTCGGGTGAGGCAAATGGATGGCCTCAACAATCCTGTCCTTTCTCCTATTTCATTTTCTATTATTCCCTTCCACATTTGTTGCTATGCTGTCAGGGGACAGACCCCGGGTCCCCATGACCCCTCTCTACAGTCCACAGTCTGGCCTGTAAACACAGCCCATCTCAGGGCATAGCTACTGTGGGTAAGAAAGTGAGAAGAAGGTTAACTTCTCACTTTCCCACAATGGCCCCAATATGGCGAAAACTTCCGGGGATACCCAGAAGTCACATGAAGGGTGGGAACCGGGCCCGGAGCATGCGGTGCACGGAGCGTGCAGGGCGGAGGTGCACATGCGGGTCCAGGTCCGGGTCCGGATGCGGGTCCGGGTCCGGGCTAGTCAGGGTGTGTGCCCTGACATATGCTGACTTCACTAACGCTCAAAAATACTAGTCCATTTTGGGATTCCACATCTTAACCAGTACTTCTATACATTTGACACCACTCTCATGCACGAATGATATGCACTGTGATCACCTGGGAGGCCACAGAACCTGCCATGCATACCATGAAGATGGCTAGGAACTCTGCTAGGCTTGTTTGACAGCGAGCGCAACATTTTCCCTTTTGGGACTCAATGCCATCTGTACGTAATTGATCGCACTCACTCCTTTTTACCGATTTCAGGTTGAACAGGGTTTTCACTCGTTCAACTTTCTACGATATTTTGTTTTTCGCTGTAATGATGTCTCTGACAATCACATCTTTGATGCCATGTCTGAGGCATGGGAACATGGGGATGACCAGGATTTGGCAGGGGCCTACGATGCTGATCATTCTGGTGTCAGGGATCAGTAACGACCCTGGACCCTATGCCAGCTGCGCATATGCGCGTGGGAAGTATGCCGGTAATTCCCGTCTACTCCGCTTACCTAAGCCCCGGTGACCCGGATCATCTCCGGCATTGTTCTGGAACATTCTATGATCACATGATTCTATCGGCAATCCGTTTGGTTTCCTTATTGCCGGACTCTACATGTATATAGCTGACCCTAAGATGGGGACATCCCTTTCCCCTGGCTTTAATCACAACTAGGTTATTGGAGCATCCTGTGCGAGCACGCACGTCCCCTGACATCCGGTGATGATACACCAGTTGTCTGTTGGAGGAACCATGTGCTATGGGAGGCTGGACAAGTTTTCGTACAGCCACATTCCCACATCCGAGTGAGGAACTCGCCTGGACAGCCACATTCCCGTGCTAGCATGACTACTTAGTCACAACACCTCTTTTATATTATTTCGGACTAACCCGTGCCAGGCCACGGATATATTCATTCATTTGAATTCATTTCCTTTTCCCTCAGTTCTTCATGCATATTAATGAGACTGAGGTTAGTTGCAACAGTCCTTTATTACTGTTTCATTTACTATTGTAACTTACACTATGTACATTACCTCTAGCTTCATGCTTATAGTCCAGCTCCGAGATCAAGTGTCACTCATCAACATTGTCTCATGTCAGAAGGCTCTTTGGGCAGTGCTTTTGCAAATGACTTACACCAAACAAATACATTCCTCTTTTGCATGGAAAATGGAAGCCATTTTAGGTCAGTTTGGATGTGAGACTGTCAGGGACTGACCCGGTGTCAGGGACTCGTCCGGGGTCGAGGGGGTCCGGGTATAGCGTCCGGGACCGAGAGCCTGGCAGGGGGCGGATCGGGCGTGCGTACTGACAGGCCCGATGTGGGACAGTGGTCCCTGGCCACTTAGACTGAAGTGGAAAGTTGTTATTATCATTAAAGGAGAGATATTGTACTACTTACCTGAAGTGGAAAGTTGAGAAGAAGGCTACTTCTTCGGTTCCCACTTCAGGTTCGTTTATATACATGCGGCTTGGATCACATGATGGGTGCCACGTCACCCTCGCACACAGCCGTAACCACCCGGGTGTCTCCGTGGGAGATCCCGAGGGTATCCAGTGCAGGCGTGCGTGCTGGGCACAGCGGGAAGTCGCCTGAGGTGCCCGGGCCGGGTACATGGTGGGCGCGCTGCAGATGGGTCAGTTGTACATTGATACAGAGAAAGTCGTCCATGTAGAATAAAGGGAGAATAAAGGAGAAGTAAGATAAGGAGAAACTGAGGAGGGGAGGATGAGGGGGGAAGAAGGGAAAGGGGGAGGAGGTAAGGAAGGGTGGACCGGCGGGGTACCGGGTCAGGTTGGGCCGGGTGGAGCCAGGTCAGGCGGGTGTGCCCTGACACCCGGGGTCGAGAGCGCCCAGGTATATTGCCCAGGGCTGAGGGTCCGGTAGGGTGTGACACGGGTGTGCGTAACAACAGGCCCAAAGCAGACAAGGGTCCCTGGCCACTTAGGCTAAAGTGGGAAGTGTGTTATTGTTATTAACAAGGGAAATGTAGGCTACTTGCCTAAAGTGGGAAGTGTGAGAAGAAGGTTGCTTCTCAGTTCCCACTTAGGCTGTGTTTATATACATGTGGTTGAGGCCATGTGGGAAGCGCCACATCATCTACGCACACAGCCACATCCGTCCGGGTACCTCCATAAGAGGTCCCAGGAGCATCCGGTATGTGGGAGGTCATCCGGTGTGTCCGGGTCCGGGCACGTTACACTGCAGCCGGGTCAATGGTACATTGATACAAAGGAAGTTGTCTGTGTGATAAGAAAAGAATAAAGAGGAAAGAGAAGAGAAGAGGGAGAAGAGAAGAAAGAGAAGAGTAAAAGGGGAAGAGGTGGGAGGTTGGGAGGAGCGGATGGTGGGGCACAGGGTGAGGTGGGGCCGAGTCAGGTGGGTGTGCCCTGACAGAGACCCATCACAAAGTTCAGTCATCACTCTGCAGCAGTACATACTTCAAAAAAATTGTGTAGATGGGCTTTATGTAGATACATAATCTTAATGTTTAGACCTTGCTGATATTTGAGGTACTGTCAGGGACCGACCTGGGGTCAAGAGCATCCGGGTATATTGCCCAGGGCTGAGGGCCCAGTAGGGTGTGGCACAGGCATGCATAACAACGGGCCCAAAGCAGACAAGGGTCCCTGGCCACTTAGGCTAAAGTGGGAAGTGTGAGAAGAAGGTTGATTCTCAGTTCCCACTTAGGCTGTGTTTATATACATGTAGTTAAGGCCACGTCATCTGCGCACACAGCCACATCTGTCTGGGTATCTCCGCAAGAGATCCCAGGAGCACCCGGTGAGTGGGAGGCTGCCTGGTGGGTCCGGGCATGTCATAGTGCAGCCAGGCCAATGGTACACTGATAGGAGGGAAGTCGTCCATGTAATAAGTAAGGAAAGAAAGAAAAGAGAAAGGAGGGAGAAAGAGAGGAAGAGAAAAGGGAAGAGGAAGTAGGGAAGGAGTAGGTAGTGGGGGACCAGGTCAGCTGGGGCCGAGTCAGGTGGGTGTGCCCTGACAGGTACCACATAACTGTCAGGGCACACACCCTGACTAGCCCGGACCCGGACCCGGACCCGCATGTGTGCTCCACCCCGCATGCTCCATGCACCGCATGCTCCGGGCCCGGTTCCTATTCCTCATGTGACTTCTGGGTATCCCCGGAAGTTTTGCTGATATTGTGGCCACTGTGGGAAGATGAGAAGTTAGCTTCCTTCTCATCTCCTTACCCACAGTAGGCAAGTGTATATACTTGCCCTTGTTTTATCTCATCTTCTTACCCACAGTAGATTGTGCCCTGGATAGGGCTGGCCAGACCTGAGGCTGTGGGCCATAGGGGAGGGTCATGGGGACCCGGGAGCCATCCCCTGACACCGCCCACTTCCATGCCCTCTGCCACTCCTGGTTGACCTCCACACCCTGTAGTCAGGTCAACACTCCCCTCTGTACCTTTGCTGGCCATCACACTGTCCTCATTTGTGACAGCACTGACGGACCACCCTCTGTTGCGGACTAATCAGCTCCACACTGATTCCCACATCCTATTTCACAGACTTGTGTTGGTGCTGCGTGCCGACCCCGTGTGCCACTTGGCAGCTTATCATTCATTCCTTGCCGAGTGCCTATTATGTTCACCCATTTCATTCGCTTAACTTGCCAATATTGGCATTTGATCCATGTGCTATTGCACTTTCCTATTCATTCATTTAATCTGTCAATATTGGTACTTGATCTGCTTTGACTTTATTCATTCCTTGCCTCCCATTTCCCGGGTTCTGTCAGGGCACACCCGCCTGACCCGGCTCCACCCGGCCCAACCTGACCCGGTACCCCACCAGTCCACCCTTCCTTACCTCCTCCCCCTTTCCCTTCTTCCCCCCTCATCCTCCCCTCCTCAGTTTCTCCTTATCTTACTTCTCCTTTATTCTCCCTTTATTCTACATGGACGACTTTCTCTGTATCAATGTACAATTGACCCATCTGCAGCGCGCCCACCATGTACCCGGCCCGGGCACCTCAGGCGACTTCCCACTGTGCCCAGCACGCGCGCCTGCACCAGATACCCTCGGGATCTCCCACGGAGACACCCGGGTGGTTACGGCTGTGTGCGAGGGTGACGTGGCACCCGTCATGTGATCCAAGCCGCATGTATATCTCTCCTTTAATGATAATAACAACTTTCCACTTCAGTCTAAGTGGCCAGGGACCACTGTCCCACATCGGGCCTGTCAGTACACACGCCCGATCCGCCCCCGCCAGGCTCTCGGTCCCAGATGTTACGCCCGGACCCCCTCGACCCCGGACGAGTCCCTGACAGGTTCTCATCCTTGGTTTAGTTTGACAAGTCCCCACTCATTTCCACTTATTTCCACACCGGACCGACCGGTCCCTCTTTTGATTTCTCTTACCTACTTATACCTTGTAAATACTTTTGGGGACCTCAGTCTGAAATCAACTAGAGTACCCCCCCTGTCTGGTCTGAGTCCCTCCTTCTGCAAAGGGGGCTTCCCCCCCTCTGAGTCTGTGCTTGTGGAGTCTGCACTCCTCCTACAGGTCTGCTCCACCCGCAAGTCTTGTTTGAAGTCCGCTGTAAGTGTCAGTCTGTAAATACGGGATCTCCCCCTGTTATGGAAATGGGAATTTCCCATTCTAGACTCTTATGGGTTCTGTATCACATGATTTGTATAGTAATTAAGTTTATCCAATCAACAATTAACCAAAACCCGCTGTGCTAACATCTGTTACACCACATGTCAAACCATCTGTGAAACCACCTGTAAACCATTATGTCCAACCCCCTTCCCTATTCCTGTGCCAGAACGGACGAAAATGGGCGCCTCCGGCCCCATTTTTGTAACACCCCCAAACGTTGAAAGAGGGCTCACGGCTCTCTATGCCGACTAAGCTCGTGGGGCCAAACTCTCCAAAATCCTACTTTCTTGACTAAACTCGCTATTCTCTCGATCCTTAACTCCGCGGTGGGTTCTCCAGGATTTCCGCAAGGTCCGGGCTCAACAAATCTACTACCCACTCGTTGTGGGCTAGACAGTTGCCCTTATTCCTACTGTTGGAATCCACTCACTCACACCCTCTCTAGTGCGTCCTAGCACTTTAGAGAATTTGGGGGGAGGGGAGAACTTCTTTTCAAAAATCCGGTATGTACAGGATTATAAGAAATAATTATTTTTAGAAATAATAGATGGTGAATATTGGTACCATATGGCACCTGGGTACCTTATTAGGCGAAATAATAAAAAGGGTAACAGTAACAATAAAAGAATATCAATCAATAACTGAAATGATGGTGAAATATGAAAATAAGAGAAAATAAGCGATATCTCAATGGATTTACGGAATTAAGAGCCTAAATTGGAAATGTAGCTGGAGATAACTCTCACAAAGCCAATGAGCATTTTTACCAATTTATTAGACGCCGTGGGAACGAGTGAGGCTGGAATTCTGGGTTGCCGCTTGAGATTCCCACGCCCGCACATGCCCGTGACCTGCTGTGCCTAACTTGCCCAACATTGAACTCCGTCAATTCTCCACCGATTGGGACGTTCTTGATATCGTCAGAATCGTACGAATTAGGACTACTTTTAGATACCAAATTCGTATCGAGTTGTCGCATGAATGGAAGGGGTTTTCTAATCATAGAAGCGGGTATCCGAGCCAGCTCTGTGCGTGGGCGATTATCCCGCCTACAACGTCAAGCTCAGGGCACAGCGCTCCACCTGAGTCGCTGAGGCCATGATCCCACTCTGCTAACCTTGAACAGTGCTTCCAGACGCGCCGCACATTTCTGCCCACATATCCACACATGCATGCTCCAACAGACCTCTGCCACAATCTCCGACCCCAACTCAGACAGAAACCCAATCCATCTTCCATCCATCTCCTGACAGTACTTCTGACTTTGACAATATTCCCGACTCTGACAGTATTTCAGACTCTGACAATCGTGGGAACATGCTCGGCTTCTGCCCATAGTCACATTACGAACTGTACAGTACATTTCCCTTTTATAGCAGCCAAGCAGGGAATAGGGAAACTTACCCTTCTTCTCAACTCAATCCCCGCTTAGTGAGTTTGAGGAGCTTGGGATAGGATCCAGCACCTGGCTGCCTGGGACACCGCAAGTGTCCCTGCAGTAGGGCCGCCCCCGGACAGAGGCCGGGCCCTGACACATTTGCACAATCAGCCAAAAGCAATTCAACTAGTACTCCAAAATGACCAATGACCAGCATCACAAGCTCCGCCAGGGTACATACTCCTTACAGCACCCCGCATAAATTCTTCATCAGGCTCAAACATTGCAGGGACATCCTTTGACAACCTCAGCAAGTCATCATATGTTCCGTCATCCTGGGACCGAATGGTGCGAAAAGTCCTTGAAGAAGCCCCGGCACACCAGATATCAAATGAGGTGAAGGCACCCGTGCGGACCGGTTTCTTTTGCCTTGATGGCTGAACCCGTTCAGGTGGCATTATAACAGAGACTTTGGATTCCTTCGATGCCAGTGCATTCACCATTCAAACCACTGGGGGTGGTCCTGTCGACTTGACAAAAATTCCAAGCTTGAACGGGTCCATCTTGTCAAATAAGTGTTGGTTCGGGCTGGTCCCGTAAGAGTCATCATTCTTCGACTGTATCATGGGGACAGACATATTGTTCCTTCGTAGTATCGTGTCTTGGTAAAGAATTGGAATGACCACATCAATGCCATGTTGATTATCCGCGCAGACAACTCCGACACCCCGAGCGGCAAGCTTAAAGAGATATTGGACAGAGAGTACCTTGAAATCATAAACCTTGATGAAATGCGTAATGTAGATGCGTGAGCTCTTGAATGTCTCAGCAAATGAGTCGTTGCAACTGCCTGTCAGCAGCCTTGAGGGCAAAGAATCCTTGATCGACTTGCGATAGATGTCGTGGGTAAAGAGAGCCTTGAACAACGAGGTCACCATGACCCCCCCTGGCTCCCATCTCCCTTGTCATCTACGGTGTCGATAATAATGTTGCACGTAATGAGTTCTCCCCGATCTCCCTTACTCATTCCAGGCCACTCCAAAATGTCTCGTAACATCTGACAGGACCGGTCCTTATCCCGGACGGTGCGCAAGATGATAGCCGCGGCCTCAGTGAGGATCGGCTCCGAGGCTGCAACCGTGACGACAGACTCAAATCCATCCTTGACACACGCATGTGCCTCTCGACTTGGTTCATCTGGTTCCTTACTGTCAACGTTCGGTGCCGACCAAAGTAAATGCTCGTATTGAAGTCCAGCACAAGACGATGAGACATCACGGCAAACTTTCCATCGAGGGTCAAGTGGTCCTTTTCCCACGCACGGCAGAGAAGTTCTGGATAGCAAATACGGTGATTGTGTCTTTGACGCGTTCTCCGCCCTCTTGGTAGCGTATTAGCCATCTACGATGACATAAAGCTATTATAGTGAAGAAAGATCTGGGAGAACGTACAAGGGACGACCCAATGATAACCTGTACGGTAACTTAGTGACATCATTCAGAGTCATGCCCTCACGAAACTTCATCGCCATGCGATCGAAACCTAGAGCGCTGAACGGTTTGACACTGGAAAGTTCACCTTGGATAATGCGGCTCGATGGATCAAGGAAAGGTGGCGGGGAGAATTGGTCAGATTTCCCTGTTGTGGATAAGAAGAGGGTCCAGATAGGGAACAACCGTAAACCCCGCAAAGCCACCCTCTACCAGTATTTGAAGGCGCCAAGGTGTGGGCTTCATCAAATGCCAAAGTCAATATGGGAGTATGCTGCGCTTTGAGCTTGAAACGAGGGTCGATCTTCTCTAACACTTGTCGGACGACAGTAGCAAGTTCAACATCCGTGCCTTGTGTATAAAAAAGACATTGTATCAGTCAAGACCATGCTTAGGGAAGTAATGGGGAATACCATTTGTTTTTGTCGTGAATCTCCCGGGCGGTGTTTTCTGTTTTGAAGGAGTCATCGGCCTATTACTTGAATAGAGCTGCCTCGATTGTGAGTGACCTAGCGGCGACACAAAACAGATACTTGCCTCCTCCGCTCTGACCAATACTTCCTCGTAAAACTGCACACGTAGAGGAGCTTGCTGTCCAAACCGCTGTCCAACTGTCATAAAAAGTCGAAACTGCCCCGCAAGGGATTTAGGATAGCGCATTAATGCCGCTGACTTCTCGGCCGATGAGGGCTTAGAAGAAGAAGCGATGATACTTTTTATTGAGTTACGTGGTCCAATGACGTTGGATACCCTCTCGAACAATGCAGTGAGAAATGCGCTGAAACGAGTATCGCTTTCATGCTCTTTAAGGTTAATCCTTGTGAACCAATTCAAGACATCATGGTCAGGAGCCGGATATCCTAAATTGAAACATTAGAATCACACAGAAGAATACGGGAAGAGAATATCACCTTCAGCTCCCCGACGGAGATTGAAGGGGACTACAAAGTGCTTCTTGGAGAACTCGTCGACCATTCGCGATTTCCCCATGCCAGAGGACTGTACGATTGGTAAGAGGCGAGCATATGTATCAGCGATATTTTGTCTCATCATGTACTGGTAAAGAATGTTGGCAGCGTCTCCTCTGTATTCGGAAGACCACGACTTGACTGTCGCTGGAAGGAGGTCGGAAAGGAAAGACACAAGCAGGCGACGCTCTACCCACCATCTTCAGATGATTGAGAATCAAGTATCGCTTCAGGGTCGGGAGGACCCGCAGGTTGGACTGTTGGAAGAAGAATTTCTGTAACTATCACAGTTTATCAGAGCCATCCAACGACGCCCGCCTACGGTGCATACCCGAGTTTCGTATCTTCTTGAACGATTGAGCCTTCCATGCTTCCTCTAACCCATCCCCCAACTCCGGATGTTGTGCGATTAAATCACTCAGTGGCGGTAACTTTTTTGAGCCGGGTATTCCGACTGACTGGAGGACAATTTGGTTGAGAAGAAGAGCACAAAAGTCATTTCTGGTGAGTTTCTTGGCATAGTGGCGCGCGAACTCCACGATAAGTGCGTCTTCGTCCAGGACATTGGGATGAACCGCGAGAGTCGTGGGTGCACCCTTAGAGGAGGGCCCACCTGCTGACGGCCCAATCTCCAAATTGGATCTCTTTAGAGCTGACCAATTTGGGAGCGGGACTTGAATTTCGCGACTGCCGTGCGGATGTTGCTGGGGAGGCGTCAAGTCTCCTGAAGATCCGTCGTGGTCTTGGACTTGTACCACGCCGTACTCGTCAGCGCACGTCGCTGGTTCGGCGTCCACTCCCGGATTCCCGAAGGCAGGCTCGGTGACTTCCACCGACGAACCTCCGATGTGCACAGGTCCTAGTGTTCCTGGGGCCAAGGTATCTAATGAAACGGCCCGGGTATACCTACCGCTTCGCAAAGTCGGCATGTTGCAACGCGTTTAGTAGAGTAGGAGGACTTGAGATAGACAGTCCCAAGTCGATCGAGGAATGCGAACTGTTAATGTAATAACTGATGGACGCCGCCTGCTGCGGCATTACCCGCTACTCTTATCGTAGACCAGTCGAACTGCCTTCGGCTGGCTTTGGACATATGATGATGGTAGAACTGAGTGAAATCCGAAGTACAGTGGTACAAATAGAAAGGCAAGCACAGTTACTGATGACGGGACAACAACAATACACGTATAATCGCAAAGTGCGTGCGCGAGAATCGCGCGAATTCCAAGCCCACGATCTTGACAGCCAGAGCCCTGCCTGCCTTACATTTTTTTAGGCTCAATAGGCTTATTCCCACGCACGAATCTTGCACTAAACCTAATAACAATTAGCCATTAAGCCGAAGCACCACCGACGTAATCTCGGGACTTAATTTGTAAATATGCTTCTATTTACGTCACAAATATGGAAATCTGGAATCAAACTCATTTTATGTAAGTTGTCGAGAAAAATTGGGAGTGCACGTGTCAGTGCACTATGGGGCATTGCTGTGCTAATACATTCGCAGAGTCGCAGCCCCTCGAAAGCATGCTTACCCAACAAGGCAATCTACAGACTTCTGGACGTCCTCGGAATGCCTTCATTCTCAAGACCCGTTGAGAATGAGATTTCTACGATGCCATTGCTGTGGCTCCTGGCCCTCCTCCGCGGCATATCTGGGGTTGTTAGCCTCAGACAGCTTATTGAGGGTTCGTCCCATGCTCGGCGCTTTGGCGCGGATTTCCGTGATGGACAATGAGCCATGGCCTCGATGTCATGTTGGCGAACTCTAACCTCTTACTGTTCCTGCCCCGAGGTAAAAGTCCTTTACGCGATCCCGAAACATTTCAAGTGGTTTAGAAGCCCACCAGGCCAAGGTCGAGTAGATTCTTGCCTTACAACTATCAACATAATGAGACACCAAATGGGTCCAATTTCATTCGTTGGTTGGGGTTCAGCTTGTCTGGTGGCCTATCAACCAGTCATCTACCAATAAGGATGTGTTAAAACTCTCTTCTCATCTGCCAAACTACCTCGTCAAACACCATTTCAAAGTTCACCGATAAGATCTCCGACAGTTCTTGCGAGCGAGCTATCGCCCTCCCCCTTAGCACTCGTCGTGCGGGCTTCGTCTATCAGCGTGAAACCTTCCTGGAGCACTTCAGGCAATTCCGTGTATCCGCCAACCAGCTTCTCGAGCGTCATTGTGCTCTTTGACAGTCCATACACAGAAACGACATCCACTTTACCCGCTTCGGTATTAGGGATCTTGAGTTTGTAGATGGGAAAGTCCGTCCTCGGATGGAAAATCCTCCACTGATTATTGTATCCTCCAGCTAGAGGGATCTTGTCGGAAGTAGCACGACTGAGAATCTGGTAGATGGCCCCTTTTTCCTCTTCTGAGTTAAGTTGGAGAACGCGTCCTTCAGTGTCTATGACGAAATCGGGAACGAAAAAGGCGGCGACGAGTTGCCGCGGATAAAGATGAGTGGAGCGAATGACGCCAGCTATGAGTGTATCGCTAGAGGGCGTAAAGGTTCCTCGGGACGGGTGGGGATGGGAACGAGTATGCCACCCTGACAACCCTGACATTGGGAACAAGATGTTTCCTCAGATGAGGCAGATCCGCTACAAGATCAGGAATGGCCCGCAATCAGCATCGCAGGGACGACAGAGACAAGTATGAGAGCAACAAGCCGTTTGACTGACAATATTTCCTCTGGGAGGGAGTGACGAAGCGGTGTTAGTTAAGAGAGGTTGTTGGACTCCGTCCTTTAACATTCCCAGAGGGCTCAAGATCGATACCGCTGAGTGTTACTAAAAAAGGGGACTGCGCCCTCCTGTAACTTGCGCTGCCTCACGCGCTGCGGCCGCACCCATCGGTCTGCTTCCCAGCTTTGGCGACACGTGCAAATGCCACACACCGCCACCTCCACGAGTCTTCCCCAAAATGTCAGCTGTAGGAACGTATTTCACCATCAGCACGACTTCCAGCCCATAGGGTGCCCTTAGTTTATGGCACTTTTGTTCCCCTGTAACGGGGTATGGCGAGTCGCCAAGTGGTGTGAGGTGCAATTCCCGTGCCAGAAAGGCTGCGTTTCCCCAAGATCACCTTTGTCCCACTGGCATAGCGCCTATGGATACTGCCGCAAGGCGCTTCGTCTCTTAAGCAACTTCGTATAGACACAGTCATTAACTCTGTATGGGGCCCTTGGGTGCCATCGATCCAAGCACCTAACAGTCAGCTCCTGTGCGAGGTTAACTTGGTTAGTGTCATCATCTGTCGTGCATACTTTCACCATGGGCGCAAGACATCCTAATCGAGTCACCTATTGCTGCATTTACTAGTGCTTGTCGCTTTCGAGGACAAATCCGCGTCTGACAGTCCAGGCTCTCTCTATCTAAAATTACGAAGTCATAGAGGCTGGAGTCATGCCTAAGTCCAGGCGTGAATAGGAGGCCGGGGTGCGCCCGCGCCCCCGCGTCCGGTCTCGCTTCGCCCGCTTCATGGAGGTGAGCGACTCCGCAGTGCAATGACGTTCCCCTGCTAGTGCTGTGGGATTTCTGGATTACGAGGTTCATGCTAGCCACGCTTTGGCTCCTCGTCGCATTGGCACTTGTGTTTGGTGTGGCAATGAAGGAAATCTAATCCCGTTGGCGCAGCCAGATTCAGGGGTGCGAGTGTATCGTGGACGTTATTCGGAAGAGAGCAATTCTACAAGTGCCTCGTTCAGTGTTGTCCAGTTAGTGGAACCGTTGACAGCGTAATTACATTAGGCAGAATTTACATAAGTCTCATTCTCAGGCCTAGGGGCCAATGCTTCCCGAGTTAGAATACCCACACGGGTGCTTTCCTGATTACTAGAACTTCTGAGTCCGGCAATACTGCAGGACCCATATGATGTCGACGGTTCCAGGGTTGACTTGCATCACTACATCAACATCGACCATTACGTTTGCAACAGCAGGAGTATACGTGAAATCGCACAGATGCCATCCCAAGTGGCGGTCCATAGCTGGTGATGTCCATTGCCTGTTCTCGCTCAAGTAAACGTAAACCACACTCCACCTGTGAGTGTTCGCTTACCATTAATTGTCGGATATATATCGAAGATGAGGATGAGTCCCGTCTGTCCCAATGGGGACTGATAACATAAAAGTCGCGCCACATGTAGCAGGTAGGCGACCTTCTGCTCAATAGGGTAATAGCTGCAGCTGACCGAGCAATTTATGTGTGTGTGTTACTTTCGATATTTTACGTGCCTGTGAGCAATTTATGTAATGAATTTCGAGGGTACCACAAAAGGTATTCCCCACAGCCGACTCGAACGACTGACCTCGTCATTACTAGTGACGCGCTCTACCAACTGAGCTAGCGGGGAGAACTAACTGCCGTGACTCCTTAAGCCATCATTGTCAGTACAAGACCTAATCGGGCGAGCCGCCAATACGAATGAAGACTTGCTATCTAGTCGTGCTAAAACATTCTTGCAGAGTCCAAGTAATTAGTTTATGTAGGTGCAATCGTACAATACTGGGCTACATAAGCAAGATACAAATTAATTCCAAGGATACGGGCGCTCTAGTGTTCCAAGAGAGGGATTAGGAGAAACGAAAAACTCCAAGAGTATTCCCAAAACTAGTGATAGAGATCGATGGAGTGACCGACAAAAAGGGACCTGCCCTTGTGAAAGGAATGCGAGGGAAGGTAGAGCTTGTGGAGGCACTGGAGTGCACCTGAGTGGGCATGGAGGCTTCGGGCGGTGGGTGGAAGAATAACTCGGAGACGCTAGATGAACGGGATGTCCTTGGACTTGATGAATCAGCATGTGAGGAAAGTTCAGAAATAGGAGAAACTCGTAAATTCCCATATAGGTCGAGAGACCAGAGCTCCCATCGCTCAAACGGCGACTTGGGCTGTGGCCGGCTGCTTGGCGAGAGTTCGTTCCGACTTGATCTCGGCTGGAAGGCAGGCAGCCGTCTTCGTACTCCAAGAATAAGATTATTGCATACGTCCCAGCTTCCTCTTTCGATGGAAATCTCAGCGACCTTAGTGGCAGTTCGAAGCCGCCGTGAGGAATCGATGGCAGATCCAATGGAGGCCATCGGAAGCGGGACGGGGAAGGTTTGTAAACGTGTAGGAGGTGAAGTTGCCGAGATGAAGGTCATACTGGTTCGACGTGAAATGCTCCCATCTTGAACCACGTTATGTGCATCAAGCATATCATGTCGAAGACATGAACATAACTTCCCTTCAGGAACGCATGGGAGATGGTATATCTTCAGCACTTCCTCCGTTCCCAAGGCAATGACCAGAGTACTATCCCGATCATTTAAACATTTTGCGCATTCCCTGGCAGACAATCCGATGACCCGAATCTGGTCTACTACACTGCACTGAGCCTCAACAACTCCAGCAAGCTCTCGCGAATCCTCTCTGAAGATAAATACTTGGCGATTTTGTGTGATAATGATAAGGATTGGAAAGTTGACATCGCCAACGCGCAGTATTTGAGGATGCACGCTGATGATAGTATCTGTCACACCCAATCCGGCAAGCCGCATGGAGTAGAACGTCATCGACGGCTTGACTCCCTCGCGGGGAGATCTGGGGACAATAGGGGTAGATTCTTTGTGAACATTCGAGCCTGGGGGACCACAAACGCGGAGCTAAGCTGAGGAATAGCTTCGGCTCCTCTGGAAGGCAACGATGAAGAAAAAAAGTCCCAGATGTACGTTTCCCCATCATCCACTGATATGGCGAGGGTTAATGGCCGTCGGAGGTTTAGTTTCGACTTGGTTCGGTGTGTGAGCACGTTTGGGGTGTATCCAAACCGAACCGAACGAATCCTTCCCGGTAACAGCGCACTAGCTTGAAATAGGACCGAACGAATGAAGATTGACCAGACCGCAAGTATTCCCTCACTACTACCAATAGCGCAGTAGGCGCCAGACGGATCAACAGCGAGGCTCGTTATTTCCCCAAGTGACTGTGAGCGGGAATAAAGAGCGGAGGTAGTATCAAGGGTCAGATGAGATCCATCCTCGAACCATATGGCAAGTTCATTATCGCTGACAGCAGCAATAATAGATGTGTCTTGACTATAAGCAATCATCGCCACATTTTGAGAACATGCACGCAGCAACGGCGTAAATGAGACATTGCCTTCAACCAGGTTGGTGCGAGGCTTCGAAGGGCGATCGCCATCCTCGCGATGCCCCTGCGCGGCGACCAACTCTGGATCTTTCTGCAAATATCGAAGTAATATGTAGAGCAGGAAATTGGTAGCAACTGAAGGAAATATCACGATCCTCATCAATCGATTGAGTTGGGAAGTCATGCGAGATGCAAAGAAGCGAGGCTGATGACGACGCTCCGCTTGTGGTTGTGAAGTGGAGATGGCTAACTCAATGACAGTAGGAGGCTCGATTTTGACGAAGAGAAGTGGGTCATCCTCAGGGTTGAGGACGTCCCATATCTTCCTGCCTACGACGTCTTGAACGACTTCGGTGGGAGGTGCCGGTCGAGTGCTGTTCATGCGGTACGCCACAGCCGTAACTCGTGGCTCCATATCATACCTGTCCGGAAATGAATAAGTGGCATAGTACAATGTTGCTGACACAGCCAGCATCTATATCGATCGTCTCAGCAGCAATTTTGAATGGGTGCTGATAATACTGACGAGTAGTAAACTCCCGTTGGTCGCCGCCTCCGATTTCAGGAACTGTTGCACCTTGTTGCGCTTTTTCACGGGGCTGAGGCTGGTGCGCTTCAGACCATTCGCTCCATTAGGTACGGACGGCTTCTTTGAACCCTGATGCAAAAGTTCGCTGAGCTGTCAAAAATGATAAGCTACGACGGTCGAGATCATGTTCATCACACTTACCTCCAGACGGTACAGGTCGATGGCCAATACTGCGACAAACATGGTATGCACCAGAAACCAGTGAGCCACAAGCACAACGATTGCAAAGACACAAAATTGGCGAGTGGCACCATGCGCGAAAAAACCGATGGTCCCAAGAATTACATTGCAACCCACAACACGAAAAGTATTGAAAGTTCCAGCATGGGAAAGACCCAAGGCTAGACGCTCTTTAACAGGGAGAGTCACACGGGTTGAAACCACCTTGTCGATCTGGTGGTCCAGTCTCAGTACTAATCACTGTAAGTGCGGTTGGAATGGGTACATGCCAGCGTAAACATGTTTTCAGCACCCACAAGCACAATCACCACAGGTAAAATCCCCCTACCGGAATGGTGCATCAATATGTCAATTCTATATGCACTGGACTACGCACCAAGGTACCATGGTAATATGATAACCCCAAAGAGCGCAAACGCTTACACTGCACAACGTGCTGGCAATGATCTCCACGATCCCGGTTAACGCTAGACCGTAACGCGAATGCACAGTGTCCATACGCTTGAGAGAACCGGAAAAGTGAACGAACACAACGGCATAGGTGATGTACAGCACAACAGCCATTAGAGAAATCCGAGATTTGTCGTCACTGACATCATACTGTGATCATGTCATGATGTGGACAATATTTAGAAAAAGGTGTGAAACGCACCTGAATAGAAAGTAATTTTGGTGCAGAAGAGGATGACTTTATTCTCCCCATCCCAGAGCCCACAGCTTGAAGGCGTTTCAACCAAGCATTGTGCTTTGCCTCGTTCTGACAATCGTCTCCATGGAAGTAATAAGTGAATGTGAGGAAATCAGGGTCCTCGATCTGGTCATCCTCCTGAGGCTGGCCAGAAAGTAATGACTGAGCCGGGACAGGAAGTCCGTCAACCATCGGGACCCTGTTGACACGCCTGAATACCTCATCGGCATCCAGAAATGCAAAGTCTGTAAAATTCCAACTTTTCAACGGGTCCGTAATAAAACATTCTCCGCGGTAGTTCTGAACACAGGGGAGAGAATTTTTTCCGCGTAGAACCTCATCTACGATCCGTCGTTGAAGCGCTGCAGAAGCGGTCAGAACGCTAAGATCTAAGGTACCATATGTCTCGTATGCTCCTTGCACGAATAATCGTTCAATGGACACAGTTCGGTCCATTCCACACCGAGCCAAGAAGGAAGGATCGGATGTTACGCGAAAAGCGTCATGGCCTTCCCATAATTCCCGGACTTGAGGAAAGGTACTTCCATACAGCGACCATATGTCCGTAAGTCCAGTAGAGAAATCTATAAAATTATGGCGTGAAAGATGGATAGCAAGTGCTGGATAGACGAGAATAGTGATCACAAAGCCCGATATAATAAGCACGCGTGTAGTGTTCTTAGCGCAGTGACTGCGGAGCATCGAGCAATGTGGCTAAGGTTTTTGCTTATATGGAGCCGATACTAGGACTCACAGCCCGAACAGGTAAAAGAATCGACTCGTTAAGTGCCTCACTTGAGCTAGAGACACCGTCAGCTTGAGGTTGGGACACATTAGGCCCTTCGAGAGTACTTGCCAATCATAATCAGATATGTTTAACTGAGATGGTCGGAAGTGACCGCGCGAGCGGTAACAGGAACCGGTAGTACGCTTCAACTTACGCTTAACCTTTTTGAAAACGACCGCCCAGTTTGCTAAATGTGATGAAACAGCTGGAGACGGATGCAATCAGTGGCTGTACGCCGCCCCAAACGTTCCCGGCGCCGATCGTTTCTCAACAAATACAGTGTGGAGATCGGCTTTAATGCCTGGAGCGCTTACCTATTTCTTCCCATCACATGGGGGTGAGGAAATCCAAACGAGTCGGGGATACGGAAGTCACCTAGTCGCACCGTAGTACAAGCCGACATCGCTAAAGGAATGCCCAGGATAGTCAACACAAAGGGCCGTCCAAATAACTCCGCCCCGACCGCGACGTCGTTAAACTACAGTGGTAAGATACAACGCCAGAGGACAAATACTCAGTACGAAACGAACCGGGATGAAACCATCCCATAATGCCGGCTCTGTCAACCAGGGGGGACTAAAGCTCAGGCGGCGCCAAGGCGAGACTCGCGCTGATCTCGAGCCCAAGGCCGTCTACTACGAGCGTCCAGCCTCCCAAGAGCGGCTGGATCCCACTGGGTAGATCCGCACGATCTAGGATAGTTCCTTGGAACTTCCACACGGCCTACGCGCCGTAGGCTAGGTATCCCACCATAAGAGACTCGTAGAGTCACACACAGAGGCGAGCCCTCAAGTCCCACTCACACCCACCCCCCTGACGTGGGCGCTGCCCTAACAGACAACCGCGCTAATATTGAGCCCCCAACAACTACACAGTTTCCCTACCGCAAAAGGCATCCCCGTAAACCCCGCACACGTGACCCGAACGACAAGCCAATAGTGCCCCGACCACCACGACTTGGAAAAGACCCAACCCCCCAAACAAAACAATGACCACGCAAAAACCATCAGAACTTAGTATGCACGAACTGCGCCCACTCCTGCCCGAATACGTCAGTAATCTGACAAACATGTGACATTTACTTAGGCGCTTAAAACTCCAAGCCACCACGAGGGCAAACCAGTACCCCCCACGCCTCCTCGCGCAAGCGCCCCCTTCTCGCCAGCTTGGCCACACCCTCACACGCCTCTTGTCTGGACCCTAAAGTCCCGTCGAAAACTCCTCACGCGGTGCCTACGCCACCCACCTCTGCCATAAGACCGGGAGCGAACCTCACAACCAAAGCTCCACCGCCAAACCCCTTGCGCGCACAACGCGACCCACATGAAGCTCTAGGAACCTGACAAACCAACTGACCAACCGTAAAGCAACACAGTACAGCCCCCCTGGTATTGCAGTATCTGAACTACCCCGAACGCGCACCCCGCCTGAACCAGGTCCACCAGGTCTCCCAGCTTGAACTGCCAGACACCACCACCCCCCAGCCAGCTGGCCCCATCTCGCCGACCACAACCCCATAAACTCCTACCCCCCAAGACTGCCCACACAACCCACGAGCCACAGAGTAAATAACGCATAAACAACTCGCTGAGCCACGAGACAAACTCCCCTCGTCTCGCCCCACTACCCTCGATGCGGGCGAGGCCCGACCAGTCCGCTGCACCCCCCCCCCGGGAATACTGCCTCCCCGCCCCCCCTTAGAGTCCATCTATCCCCTAACCTCCGCTAGAATCCCGACGACGTCTAAACATGATGTCTGCCACCAACCCTGTAAGATAGCTTATCCCACTAGAACGTAGCTTAAAAACACCCAAAATAATAAAGACAAATACGCCACAAAACTCGCCATGTACATGTTGGAACCCCAACCACCACCTGGACGCACAGATCGATCCACCCCAACTAGGGACCTAAGGGGACGTGACCCAAACCACCCCCCTCATCCTCCACGCCCCCGCGACCCGGCATGCCGCGCGCTTAACCCCTAGTGCCCCACTTGAAAGTAAAACCCTGCCTCTGCCATCATCACACGCGTAACAGCCTGTGATCCATCCGTGAGTCCCCATTCCCCCCATGACGATACTGCATAAACCCAACCAAACAATAACCCCCTAACCACTAAACACGACTTATCCTACTGAAAACCCACCATGCCAGTGTATCTCACCCCAAAGACCCAAGACCGTCTACCTAACCCGCCTAGCCCCCCCACATGTAATAATCCGCTCAACCCCAGTCCAAAACTGGCCACACCCAAACCCCACTCCCTCCCGCCACTGTGCCAACCACTTCAACCCCCACGCACGATGAAACCTACCATAATGCCACCAGGAAGCAAAACCCCTACGTAAATAACCCAACCGGCAAACCCTACGAGTCACTAGCATTATTCTGACTACCCCTGGTACACTAGCCCCGGGTACCCAGAACCCCCGCCCAAACACCGGCCAGCTGGTATAAAACGGGTAGCCCCGCAGAAACTGAAGCAGTTCCTACAAACACACACACCGCAGTCTAAGAACTTCCCAAAAGACCGTAAGCCCTACTAGATCATGGAGGTAAATGCCCCCTCATAGCCTCACGCCAACCCCTAACACAAATGAAGCACGAACGGTCCTTTGAACCCCGCCCCCCTTCCCCCCAAACTCCCGTGGTTCACGAAGATGAACTCATGACTGAAGCCACTTTCAAACTGCCACTAAACTTTGCAACCACCATCTCCGAGCAGGAGCGGGACGCGGAATCCGACTCCGACCCTGAGGCCGGCCTCTCTAGCCTCCTCCTGACGGATGAACGGCGTGGCCTAGAGAAAAGTAACAACCACTTGCCACAAACTGGCAATGAAACAAGGATGCATGCTAGGTCCCCCACCGCTGCGAAAATCCAGGGGCCCACCAAAGCCCCCCCCCCCCCGCTCCCTACCACTAACAATGACCAAACCCCTCCCCCCACCCTCCACGGTCCAAGATCCCTCCCCGGATCCTCTCCTGACATCTTCACCCTTGACCCCGGGGACCCAGTGGCCTCCCTCAAGAACATCCACTGTTATGGATACAGAGTCTCCAATGACCATATCCGTCGCATAGTCAAAGACTTCTCCTCTCTATCACTCCCCCTCTCTCTCCCTTTTGCCCTCTATCCCAATACCCTATCCTCCTTACTCATTCTACCCCTTTCCCCCCCTTGTGCAAAGCTTTCCCCATTGGGGTTTTGGTGCTGGCTGAGGTTACTTGTGTTTCGCGGGATTTCCCGCGACCCTTCCATTTGTAGATAGTCACGCGTATTGTATGGAAACCGCCGAAGGTGGTTCCCGCTAACTACTACTCTCTACAACTGTCTTGTGTGTCATCCCCTGTAACAACCCTTTTCTTGTGACTCAACTGAACCTGTGTGACTGTACCACTCACAACATGTCTTATAAGTCTGGTTATGTCAAGTCCTCTAGCAGTCCTCACTGTGAGAACTTGAGGTCACGAGTTGAAGACTCTCAACATGTATATCATCCTATGGAATCTGTACCCTATGGGACTTCATCACTCAGCTCTCCCCCCAGTGCTTGACGGACGACATCATATCACGATCTTGGAGATCATGAATACTCTGAGGCCCACATTCCTGTGATGCTGGCACGCTCGCATAGCGAGTGCCAAGTAGCCGTCCATCCATCGTCTGTTCCCTCCCTTGTCAGTCATCATATTCCCCTGCCAATGGTATGTTCCCTTTGGGAACGCCAAGTCACCGAAGGCCCCGCTAGTCAATCCTCATTGCATGCTCATGATATCAACCTGCTACTGGTACATTCGCGCTGTGAACGCCAAGTAACCGATGGCAGTTATATGAAGTTCTCACCCACCTCATGAGTTGCGACCACACACATGGTACGCTCCATCGAGGAGCGCCAAGTACCCATGGCTGACCCATCCATCCTGACGTCTCTGACTACCTACCATCAATTCCTTAATAGCTCACTACATCACCAACCATGATCAATGGGAATTCGATCGTCCACTCCCATGCAAGACTGGGATCACTCATCAATTACATATCCCATTATGGTACAGACTAGATACAATGTTCATCATCCCTCTATAAGAACGGATTGAGGAAAGGGGATTTCTCCCCATCCCCATAACATCCACCCCCGGGAATACCCCCCTACCCGTGACCCAGCCACAACGAACTCCAGACCCCTCCCAGTCTTGGACCAACTGGCTTTCACAACCATCACCACTGCCAAACCAAGTGATGGAAATGAAAAACTAGACTGGATGCCACTTGGGGCAGACCTAGAAAATTTCTATGCACATGGCATCCACCCAGCCTGCCTCCTAGAAGATGCCAACCCTGACCAAGCCAAGGCTTGGCTGAGAAAAGAAAATGCTATTTTAGCCCTCCCCCTTGACACGGCCCACAGCAAGGAAAACACAAGCAACTTCCAAACCAACATGGAAGCATTCCTGGAGAGGGCATTCCCCAACCAAGTCAGAGAAGTCAACGTCATCCCCCCTGTCCCTATTGACCTTAAATGTGGTGGAACCCCCCAATATGCCAAACCATGGGGCTTCCTCATCGAGGGCCTTAACCCCCAATTTGCCAACCTCCTGGTCTGCAAACACTTGTGGATGTGCCAAGCCTTTGGGTTCATCGCTATCAACACAGCCTTCAAACCCTCAACCTTCGTAATTTCATCACCAAAATGGGGAACTGTCATGGCCGTGCATTTTGGCCCGTTCCCCGCCTGTCCCGATGCCGCCCGAGCCTGTTCCCGCTATGCAAGCATGAGCGCGAGCCCCGACCTCAGCCCTATCCTCCCTGAGGACTCCCT